GCTTTGCTAAGCTTGTTCTAAGTAGGTGCTTTAGACCACTGAGCCATCTCACCAGCCCCTACAAGACTGTTTCTGCAGGACCGTAATTGTCATTCTTATCAAGAACAAAACAGAGGTCAGCCTTGAAGGAAAGCAGGTCTGGTGGGAACAGGATGCCACAGGACCCTGTTTATAGGACTACAGTTGTTAACCTTATCTGTAACCTCACACAGCCATGTCCTTTCAGGGAGGGGAGTTCAGGGGATAAGTTGCTTAAACTTGTTTTTCTTCTGAGTTCTGCTTTCGGCATGAGCAGAATCCTTGCAAGATTCCCTCTTAACAGTGTTTCATGCTATCAAAATATAAAGAAAAGTAAAAATTATACTGTCTCTTTCTCCACCTTTTACAAGTTGGAGCCCCCTTACAAAAATCACACCATCTAACCCATCCTTCCCAACTCCCACCCAGTGAAGTCATGAAAGGGGGAGGCACGTTTCATATATAGGGTTTTTCCCCCATATTTCTAGTGATTCCACGCAAATGCGCAGGATTGAAAATAGTTCAGTTTCTCTAGAAATGAGTTCTTCTGAGGTCCTCTCTTTCTTGGGTCATAAAGTAGATATGCTCTGCCTTATTACCTCCTTGCCAAACCTTTCAGTTTGCACTTCTTTCAGCCCTCTAAGGCCAATGAGAACAAAACAAAAGACAAAGGCCAAGTCCACCCCTTCCTGGTCCTGAGCACTGCGCTCCAGCAAGCTCCTCAGCCCTCTTGGGGAGAGTCCCCTCTGCTCTCACCGCAGCCTTCTGAGCCATGCTGCACCAGGGCTCCACTCCCCGCATGCCAAACCTGCTCCTCTTATTACTGTGCAGGAACTTTCTCCTTGACCCTCAGGAGAACCTTACTGAGTAGCTCAGCCCTCATTTTCTTCTCCTCTACAAACGTCCTTTGTGAGAACACAAACCTTAATGCTTTTCCTATTTTAGGCCTCTTGTTGCCAGTCTTTTCTCCCATTGACCTTCTCAGAAACATGAGAGAAGTTCTGTTTTAGGTCTGGTTTTTGTTCTACAAACCCTTCCCGGCACTCCGTGAACAGAAACAAAATGACGATCCCCAAACCCAAGTCTCTCGCCCGACCACCTAGCCTGTGTCACATGGCTATTTCACAGGTCATTTAACAGCTGCAAAGTAAGTCCGCCTGTGGACCACCTGGCAAATGGGCTTTTCTCCTATTCTCTGCCTTAATAAATAGAAGGCCACCCAGAGCCCAAGTCAGACCCCAGGAAGAACAATCAACCAAGGCTATTTCTTAAAATTCTTTCTCTTCCCCCCAGATCCACTACCCACTATTCATCACGATAGGCTGAATGCTGCCCCCTCGGATAGGCTGACTCCTGCCCCAATATCCTGTGGGAATCCTCACCCATGCAGTAGTACCTGACAGTTCTGCTTTATTCAGAGGCAATCAAGCTAAACGAGGTCCTTAGGGTGGCTCCTAATTCCACATGACTGGTGGTTTCATAAAAAGGGGAGTTTGGAAACAAAGTCACACAAAGGAAACATTTGTGAAGATGCAAGAAGAGATCAGGGTGATGCATCTACAAGCCAAGGTCATCCGAAATTACCAGTAAACCGCAAGAAGCCTTGAAAGAGTCGCTGAACTGGTTCCCTCGCACAGCCCTCAACTATGTTGCTGATTATGAATGACTGGCACTTACTTGATAATACATTTATATCTTTTCTAGACTTTCTAGACAGATCAGTATATACTAAAAATAGAAAATAAATAATCTAACAATTTACTCAATATTAACAGGTATTTATTGGAGGTCAATTCTGTATCAGGCACTATACTGGGTCCAATATTGAAGATATCTCTCTGGCTCACAATTAATGTTAATTTTTATAGAAGCTATAAAGGTACCAGCTAAAATTTATAGATAATATTCTCAGAAAAAAAAGGATTGTAGAAAAATGCCTTGAGTCGACGATTTATATGTAGAGGTTTCAATACAGAGGATGTTATTATTGAAAATTATCATTAAAAATCATCATCAAAACTGAGGTTCTCACTAGTGATCATGTCCGAGAAGTGCCTGTGTGATTGGAGCTCTTTGTGCATTTTAAAGAACAATGGTGACTATTTCAGAGTGTTCAGGTCAGTCAGTTGCCTATTCCATACTTAATCTGCATAGATTTCCACGTCCTCACTCACATTTTCTCAGCATACCCTTCCATCCCACCATGGCTGTAGGTCTGATGTCATGCAGATCATTGGCAATGTGTAAGACAGTTATGGTGGCTGGGTGGATAGAAGTCTTGACTATTGTGTTCCAGATGACTATAAATCTAACAGAATAGTGTGTGCTTTATAGTTATTTTTTAAATCCCAATATAACTATATTATTGGATATTTGTTATTTGCTTGTCATCTTTGATAGCTAAATTGATTACTGTTTCATGTCCTGCGATTTTTTTTTGATGGTTTTCTTTTCTTGCCACTTCAGTGGTTGTAGTCAGAAGGTAGTAGTTCCTAGGAGAATTTATTGATGAAAATACTTGTAAACAAGTTATCTGTAAGAGATCCAAAAAGTTTTGTTCTTTGATAGGTTGATTTAGAAAGATATCTAATAAAAATGCATATTTTGGGTAATTGATTTTGATCATTAAAAAAAAATCTAGACCTTCTTAGGAAGGCAGCATATGAAAACATCAGAGTCCCAAGAAGCGGACAGTAATGCTACCTCACTACTACACCTGCAGTGACTAGCTATTTAAACATGATGGAACGTGTGAGCTGACGTTTTCTTATACAGAGACAGCTCAATCATGAAAGAATACTTTTTAGATTTTATTCTCCTTTAGAGTATCCTAGTGCTAATTTTTTAAACTGCCTTTTTGCTGAGCTGAATGGTAGGGCTCTGCATATATTAAAATCATAAGCTTACACTGGTGTAATATTTTACTGGAGGGCTGTCATGTGTCTGAAAAAGCATGTGTGTGTGTGTGTGTGTGTGTGTGTGTGTGTGTGTAAGAGATGTAATCTTTGTAGTACATGAAGATCTGTACCTTCATTTCTTGATATGATAGTTCACGCTCCTTTTAACAAACTTTTTGTTTTCCATCTTTAAAAAAATTGGTTAATCCATTCTAGAAATTATAAATTTACAATATATTAACTTCTATCATGTCTTACCTAAGAAGTCTTTCCCCAGATGTTCTAATATTTTCTTTATTGTGAAACAGCTGGATTTGAAGATATGAAAAGCCTTGTTTTCTCCCTGTGGTTCAGCTACTCTCTATTTGGCATTATGCAAATTTACATTCTATTAAATTGCCATTTATTAAACATTTTTCATGCACAGAAAAACAAACTAAGGTTGTCTAAGTGGCGAAATGGTGATAGGATCTCACAAGATGAGAAAAGAGGCATGAACAAAGTAAAACGCTGCGGCATGCACATGAGAAGGGACTCTTCAGTACCAGCAAGAGGATGATGCACTGTGATGGGTGGCTGGGGAAGGTATTGACTATCAGGCCTCAGGCTTGGATTTTATTTATCTTATTTATTTATTTGTTTATTTATTCATTTATTTTATTTATTTATTTTTGTGGTACCAGGGATTGAACTCAGGACCCTGTGCTTGCCAGGCAGGCAGGCGCTTATTCTACTGAGCTAACTCCCCGGCCCTTGGATTTTATTCTTCAGGTAGTGGAAAGTTATCAAGGACTTTACAGAAGGAAATTATATATTTAAATATGTGTTATAATGTTAATTAATCTGGTAGTAAAGAACAAGCATGCACATGAATAATGGAGATGCTACAGAATAAAAAAGAAAATGCAATCGAGTCATGGATTCCAGAAGCACAGCAGTCTATTAAGCAAACACAATGACCCTGTGGAGCAGTGCAGGGGCACGGAGAGTAGAAGAGGGTGGAAAGAAGAAGGCGCAGAATAATCAGAAGCAGTGAGCGAAAGAGAGCACAGCGCACGCTGAGAGCACAGCGCACGCTGTGAGCACGGACAGGTGAGCACGGGAGGAAAGCCCCCGGAAAGGAAGCAAGGTTGCCCTAGAACCTGCGCAGAGTCAGCGCACAACAAGGAGACAGAAATGGGGAGGAAATGGTAAGAATAATTCTAACGGAAGTCAAGGAGGATGAAGTCCAAGCAAATACCTTTGTCGTTATATTCCTCAATATACTTAGAAAACTACACACATTGTTTCCAAAAGGGTCTAGAAACTTAAATTCAAAACTGACTCTGGATTTTGCTGCAGAATTTATTTTGAACCTGATATATTACTGTCTTTAAAGGAATGCCTCCCACTCCCTGCTATATACCTGAATAAAATGTTCTTATCATTGGGTATGTAGTAGTCCCTGAACTCCTTTACGGAGAAGGTGCTGCACGGAGAGTCTCGGGCCAGGTATGGAAGCGGGGTGTAAGGACCAATGATGCGCAGTTTCCACTGTGAGGCCGGCAAGTATATGTCGCCACTAAACGCTTCCGCCACAAACGTGTATCCTTTCTGTAAGAAAGTGCAAGTGCAAAGACACGAGTCACGTGGTCACCAGTCTTTCATGTATTGCAGTGAAAACATGTTTTATAATCTTGACTATACACCTGGACTCCGAGATCTCTTAGTTAACATGAAACCACTAACACTGTATTTTAAAATCTCTCTTGGAAGGGATCATCTTAATGTTTACAGGACAATTATTAACTCTATTTTGTAAGGCTTAAGTAAAAAAATAATAATTAAAAAAAATAAGATGCTAACCACAGTAAATAACTACTGTGCTTTCTCTAGTTCTTCTGATGTTCCCTAAGGTAATTTTAAAATCCCTGCATCATTCTGAAATAGCTCAGTAGCTCCTTTTTTTAAAACAGAAAAAAAAAAAAAATTCCAAAAAGGCTAATAGGAGGATAACAACAATTAATATGATGCGTATGGTTATCTTCATAGTACTTACTCAGAGTACAAGATACACACATAACATATTGTCCAAACAACATTAATACAAACTTCTCTTTTCAATAAACTAAGAAAAAGCTGTACAACTATCTTAAATACCTTGTATGTATGTACATATATATATTTTTTTCTTTTCCCTTCTTTCTTTTCCCCTTGACCCCATCACAGTTTCTCTTTTGTTTTGAACAATTTCTTCCAAATTCGCAATTATCTGTTGCATATTTTGGCGGTTTTTTTCAGAACTTGGGATTGAACTCAGGTTCTTGCACTTATTCCACTGAGCCATCTCCCCGACCCCTCTATTGTACATTTTGGATCTTATTTTCTCATTCAGTTTCTTTTTAAGAGACAAAAAAATTATTTGGTCCATATTTCATTAACCATTCTAATAAGCCCATATTCTTAGTCTTAGCTTGGTCAACTAGCAGACAAAGCCATGCAGGATAAGGCTCTGGGATAAGACATAACTGCTAACCAATTCCTGAGAAGCCGAAAGACTAACAATAACTACAGTGAGAAATACAGCGGAAGACGGAGAAAAGAAGGAAAAAGGGGGTGGACATCAAAGTGGGATCAAAGAGATTGCTGAGGACAGACAGTGAACCCCAGGGCCCAGGCCATGGGAGAACCTTTCAGCAATCAAGATTCCCTCAAGGAAACTGTGGGAAATAGGGTTTCATTGTATCTTAACAACCCTGGGCTCTAAATCTTACTTTCCTCAGACACTGACCTCACATGAAGTTTATGTCCACCCCATGATAATAGTGTTGATGGGAACTGAGTCTTGAATACCCACATTGGCTTCTGATGTTGGGGTGGTGTTGGTGTATGCATGAAAGCTAAGATCTGATGAGGCATTTTCAAGGCTTCCAAGGGGGATCCAGTCCTTGTCATTTTCTACAGTCATTACTTACTGCATTGGAAAGGGCTATGTTTCCATCCTTGTCTTGAAAATTCAGGAAGTGGTCCTCAGTGTCACATTAGTGTCCAAAGACCAGTAGGCAGAAGAGGTAAGAACCATTGAGAGTCCTCTGGAAAGCAGAAATCTGCAGCATCTTCATTGAAATCACTGGTGTCTTTTCTGCAGCAGTTACCTGGGCCTAAGGACATGTCTTCTAGGAGAAGCCTCTTCCTGGCAACCAAAGCCCTTTCCTTAGTTCTGTGAGGGTTTGGGGTTTCACACATTCTTCCACCAGATACTTTTCTTCCACCCCTCTTCCATAAACAGATCATCCAGGTGGTCTTCTGCTTATATCCTAGCAAGTCCATCCCAGATGGTGTGGCCCGGGATTGTCCAGGTCAGCTGGTACCCATTGGAGGACACCTAGCAGTTCTCTCCATGGCCCCCTCAATCAGTTTTTTACACTAGTGAGACAATAAGATATTTGCACATATGGATCTGATTTATTTCATTTATGAGTACGGACTCAAGTTGCAATCATTGACCTATAAAAATCTCCAGTTTACCCTTCTTTATGGCTGAGTAGTACCCCATTTTATATAGGAAAAAAAACCCACATCTTTTTTTTATCCATTCCTTGGTTGATGGGCATTTGGATTGTTTCCAAAAGTTAGCTATGACAAATTGTGTTGCTATAAACATGGGTTCACATATACTGCTGTGGTATGATGCTTTCAGTTAATTTGGAAAGATATCCAGGAAGGGAATAGCTGGATTGAATGATATCACTAATCCTAGGTTTCTGAGAAATCTTCACACTGATTTCCACAGTGCTTGCACCAGTCTACATTCCCACCACCAGTGGAGAAGGGCTCCTTTTTTCCCACATCCCCGCCAGTATTTGTTATTGGTTGATTTCTTGATGATAGCCATTCTTTCTGGAGTGAGATGGAATCTCAGTACTGTTTTAATTTGCATTTCCTGAATGACCAATAATATTAAACACTTTTTCATGTATTTATTTGCTATTTGTATTTGTTCATCTGAAAAATATATATTCAACTCAGATGCCCATTTTTAGATTGGGTCTTTGAATTCTGGGGGCCTGATTTTTTTTCAATTCTTCATATGTTCTAGATATAAGTCCCTTGTCTGAAAAATAACTGATTATAATTTTTTCTCACTCTTTGGGTTGTCTTTTCACTTTGTTGATTATTTTATTGTGCAAAGACTTTTTAATAAGGTGAGATACCAGTTGTTGCTTCTCTGTAGTATTTCTCATGTCATCTTGGTTTTGTCTGTAAAGTCTTTGCCTACCCCTATGTCTTTGAGATTTCTATCTATTTTGGCTGCCACTAGCTTCTGTGTTTCTGTTTTAACACCTCAGTCTTTCATCCATTCTCACTTTAGTTTAGTGCATATTGTTAGACAAGTGTCTGGTTTTAGTCTTCAGCATGAGGAGGGCCAGTTTGCCAGCACTATTTATTAAAGAGGGTGTCTTTCTTCCAGTGAACTTATTTGATGTTCTTATCTCACAGATTCATCTTCCCAAACTACAGAAACAAAACAGTCTAGGATTTTAGCAATGTGTTATGGTTTGTGTCTAGTTTTTCCCTCAAAGTTTCATGCAGTCATGGGGCAGACTTCTAGAGTTTGTGATTAACTCATGATCCCCTGGGATTATGGGTGTGAGTGCTGCTGGGATTATGGGATTATGGGTGTGAGTACTACACCCAGCCTGGGGTGGATAGCCTGAATGTAACATACAGGAGACAGACTTGCTCTCTGTAGCCATTTGCTCTTCCCTTTTGCTCATGCTGTTTTGCTGCCTTCTGCCACCATGAACTGCTGTCCTCTGCCATGTGCCACTTTGCCTTGGAGCCAGCTGAGTATGGACTGAAATCTCCAGTAAATCAACCTTTCCTTCCTTCATTTTGTGTGTCATTTATTTGTCCCATAAATGAGAGAAGAGTAACTGAGACACAATGACACTGAAAAAGCAGCTACTCTGATCCAGGGGAGCCCAGTGTGCACCCGGAGATGAGCTCCTTGTGGGGAGGGGGAGAAAAAAGGCAGATTAAGAATAACAAAGAGACTGCACCACTGTGGGAAGTGGCTTCAGTCGACATAACTGGATGCCAGGCCAAATTGCCAGTGAGCCAGGCATTCAATGTCTGACTCTGAGTTTATGATTCCAGCTGCTCCTAATAAGGAACTTAAAAGGACAGATTTGACTTCCAGTTCTTCTCTGTTAGCAGAGAACACTCTGGTGTGTTTAGACTTCCAGAAACAAACATCAGGTATGCATAAGCCAGAGAGAGCATAAAATATCTCAATTAGACATCTAGAAATATTAGCCAGAATTCCAACACTCATAATGAGGCAGGAATTGCGACACCAATAAGGAATTTTGACGTTATATTTGAAGCAAGAAAAACATAAAGAAGTTAGAATTCATATTTTATAAACATTTGAAATGCTTTCCAAGAGTGCTTTGGTGTTAATTTAGAGATCTTAGAATCCATTTATATAGCAAACTTATAAAGCATTTTCTCACTACAGTACATGGGAGACTGGGGGAATGTGACTCTTGTCTTTGCCATTGCACTTTCTTACAGAAAGGGCACTTGTGTGTGGTGGAAGCTTGGTGTCTCAGTGTAGGCGTAGACATGTACACTTGCAAGGTACAATGCACAGACGTATTGCTATTTTCATTATTTGAGATTTATCGAGCATTATTGGAGCAATAAAGCTAAAGGACTCTTGTGTTTGAACAGATTCAGAAAATAACTTTAAGCAAAAACAAGGTGTAAGACTGTAGGCAAAAGAAAATCCAGAGCTAACGAGTGGTAAAATATTCAGCCAGGAGATGCCTTCACATGGTGGCTTAGAGGCAGCAGCGCTCACAAGAGGCTTGGACAACTCCCAGCAAGATCCATAGATGAAGGAGGAAAACAAAAACTCAAACATGAGAAGGCAACTTGAAAGAGAAGCACATCAGATGAATTCCAGAATCAGGGATGTTTAGAGAAGAAAGCAGGGCTCCCACTGGACCTGGCGCTGCCTATAGCCCAAGTGTGTTGAACACACCATCGTGGGAAAGAATCCAACCTCCTGAGGGTAGAAGCAAAGGGCAGCAGTAGCTGGGGAAGAGGGGGTGATTAGTGCCCAGCTGAGCACCAACCACTGCCCAGTGCCCACCTGTCGTAGCTCGCTTCCTACAGGGGGACAGAACGTAAAGAGAATTAACTAGAGTGGAGAGGGTAGAATAAATAAAGTAGAGGAAATGGGGTTGCTTGGTGCAATCTGAACTTGATAATTAAGGTAAGTTAGAACAATTGGTTTGGTTTGGTTTCCACTGTGAAGGGAGATTAACAAACTCAGATAAGCATTGCAGATAAGGGAGCTGGGGAGATAGCTCAGCACTGTAAGTGCCTACCTGACAAGCACAAGGACCCAAGTTCAAACCCCAGTATTGCATGCTATGCCGGCCCTCTGCTATGCCATGATGCACGCCTATAATCGCAGTACTGGGGAGGCTAAAAACAGGAGGTTCACTGTGAATCTGAGCTGCACAGTGAGACCTTGTACCAAATACATTAAAATAATAATAATAATAATAATAATAATAATAATAATAATAAAGCAGGCCAAGGATATAACCCAGCTGCATGGTACTTTACTTTCCTGGCAAGCCTAATGCTATAAGTTCAATTCCATTACAAGAGAAAGAAA